TATTTTTTTTTTTTTCAATACATATGTATAAAATTACATAACGGTTTAAATAAAAGTACAACATTGTTGAGAAAATGAAGTTTGCAGCTATGTTGATGCTGTTTTATCACTTATGCATGCAGATTTTATCTTGCATGCAATGTTCCTTAGTATCGTGTTTTTTTTCTTCTTGCATTTATTGTAAAGGTGTTACTCTTACCTGAAGAGTTGTTAATGCACCTTTTAGTATTTTTGCTTTATTTTCTTTTGTTTAGCTCTTAGCTACGTGTCACACTGTGATTAGTGGATAGGATCACATGTTTGGCATGAGCTTATCATTGTGCTGGTATTTGTACTCGAGCTAAGAGCTCTTTTCATATTTCTAATGAAAACATTTTGAAAACTATAATCTCTCTCACAGGAAATGAGAAAATTATCCCAAATCAACATAGTACCAGAGCAAGATTTTTGAAGAAAGTAAATCATGGCGCACAACAGAGATGAACGAGGAAGAGAAATTGTGGCGAAATCGAACTACTCGCGCGACATCGATCCTCTTTCTCTCCATGGATCTGACCACCCAGGAATAATTCTGGTCACCAATCCATTGATCAGAGCAAATTACCTTCATTGGAGCCGAGCTATGAAGCTAGCTTTGGCAGCTAAATCAAAGCTTGGATTTATCAATGGTGCAGTCGAGGTTCCAGAACAAAACACAGAAGAATACGAGCAATATCACAAGGTGGAGTCAATGGTAACCTCTTGAATCCTTAATTGTATTTCGAGAGACATTGTTGAAGCCTTTATGTATGTGAAGAACCCAAAACAACTTTGGGATGAACTTGTTGAACGCTATGGGGAAAGCAATGGACCCTTAAGATACCAATTACAGAAGGAAATTGCTAATTATTCTCAAGGTACATCCACGGTCACTGCATACTTCACAAAACTTAAATGTCTATGGGATGAATATGCTTGCATAGTATCTCTACCTGAATGTGTGTGTGGATCTGGAAAGAGATTTGCTGAAAATGACATGGAAGTCAAGTTAATGCAGTTTCTCATGGGGTTGAATGAAGTATTTGAACCTGTTAAAAATCAAATTCTTCTTATGGAACCATTGCCTACCATTAATAAAGCATATTCTATGATACTAAAGGTTGAAAAGCAAAGATATACCAATTTTGGAGCCTCAGATACTTTGAAGACATCTGCTATGGTGGCAAAAGGGAATTATGGGAGAGGAAGTAATATGAGATATGCTGGATTTGGTAGAGGGAATGCTGGTAGAAGTTTTACTGGGCAAAACACTTATAAGGGAGGGAGAGGTAGAGGGTTGCCTAGGCTCAGTAAAGAGGAAAGAGCAAAATTGTTTTGCACACACTGTGGCTACAATGACCATGAAGTTCAAGGGTGCTTCAAGATAAATGGATACCCAGATTGGTACAAGAAACAAAAGGGGCAAAGAACAAATGAAGCCATGAATATGGCAGACAGTGATGAAGTGAACAATTGTGGGGATTCAGAAGTGAAGTCACAACACAGTGATTCCATGACAGACATTAGCTCCATTGTTCAAAAGGAAGTTGAAAAATATCTATCCAGAAAGCAAGGAGGTGAGAATCACTCATTTTCACATTTTGTTGAATATGCTGACCATATGGAGGATTATGCTTTCACTTTGCTGAATAAACTTGAGAAATGTAGTTGGATAGTTGATACAGGAGCAAGCAGACATAGCTGCTCAGACAATGACATGGCTTACAATTCTTCTTATACCACACTGTCTATCATTGTAAACTTGCCAGATGGTTCTAACATTGAGGTAAGTAGAGTGGGTGAGGTGAGACTAAGTGACACCTTGATGCCCAAGGATGTATTATTGGTTCCAGATTTTAAATATAACTTACTGTCAGTTGGACAGTTAGTTAAAGATTTTGGATTGAAATTTGAGTTCACAAATGAAGAATGCAAATTGATTGATCCTCTGAGAAATAATGTACTTGCAGTTGGTAAGGCACTATGTGGGCTATATGTGTTGGAAAATATTGGATGCTTTGTCAATGTAGTGAGTGGAAAGCTGAAAGAATTGAGCAAGATAGATATATAGCATAGAAGACTTGGACATACCTCCATTTCTTGCATGAAACATATAGACTTTCTCAGACCTGATTGCTTGC